TGATTTTATTGATTCATGTTTACGTCATAAAAATGAAATGGTTATTTATGAAGCTGCATCAACAATTGTATCACTTAAATGTGTTACACCAAAAGAACTTAGTTCAGCTGTTAATGTTTTTCAATTATTTATTTCATCATCTAAACCTGTTTTACGTTATGCAGCTGTTCAAACACGTAATAAAGTTTGTTTTATACATTTTACATAACAAAAATATAGAATTCTCTTGAAATTTAAAGGTTGCTATTCAATATCCAGCAGCTGTAACAGCTTGTAATGTTGATCTTGAAACATGAATTACTGATTCAAATCGATCAATTGCAACATTAGCTATAACAACTCTTCTTAAAGTATTTTTATTTTAATCAAATAATTTAATTTGTTTTTTCTTTTTTGTAGACGGGTAATGAAGCAGATGTTGATCGATTAATGAAACAAATCTCATCATTTTTATCTGAAATATCAGATCAATTTAGAACAGTTGTTGTTGATGCAATTAAGTAAGAGATAGTCACAAAAAAAAAATTTTTTTTCTTATCATTAAATTGAATATTTCAAAGATCATTATGTCAAAAATTTCCACGTAAACATACTGTATTAATGACATTTCTTTCAAATATGTTACGTGAAGAAGGTGATTATGAATATAAAAAGGCAATTGTTAATACAATTATTTCAATTGTTGAAGAAAATCCTGAAGCAAAAGAAGCAGGTAAAAACTAAATAATCGGATTTTAATTTTTTTTGTATATGGATTTTATTTAAAAAGTTTGGCTCATTTATGTGAATTTATCGAAGATTATGAACATACATCATTAGCTACTCGTATTATTCATTTATTCGGTCGTGAAGAACCACGTACAACAACACCAGCAAAATATATTCGTTATATTTATAATCGTGTTATTTTTGAAAATGCACCTGTTCGAGCTGGTAACACTTTTCTTTTTTTTTTTGTATCTATTTATTTCTAATTAATTAATGTTGTAGCTGCTGTAAGTGCATTAG